CGAAGATCAGTTACTTGCTTCCGCACATGTTGAAGGGACGAAAGCGTTGACTTGCACCCTGCGTATTCTAGAACAATGAAAAAAGGCTGTTTAAGTTAAACCGTTGATGTGACCTGCCTATTTCAAAATTGTGGACATTTTTGAATAATATTCCTAACGATTCTTCATTATTGCATATCGGTAGCTCAAGAAAAGCATGGAGCACTTGGAATTGTCACACATTTGAATGCGATTCGGTCCCCACAATGATTTGGGGAACCGGCCATGGCAGAATGGCTGGGCGAGATTTCACCAAGAATTTGATCCTTGGATCATGCGCAGAGACGGTGGAACTTCTTCCAACTGCACCCAACCTGTACTTGGGCCATCACAAGCAATCTGTAGTAGTGTTTTACATTTCAGCGGAGCACTATAATCGTTTCATGCTCTCCCGTAACCATTTCGAAACGCCATTGCTGTCGTCGGCACGTCTCGCTAACAGAACTCTGGTCATCTACGGTCAATCAGCCGGTATAGCCACTGCCACATTGCACCAAAGAGGCTATAAGGCCGTTCACCTCTCCGGAAGTGAGTTAAGCTCAGCTTGCCAACAAACAGCCCCAGAAATTATTATGTTTAACTTTCTTAAAAACTTCGTTGTTTCAGATATCCCCTTCTACAAGACGTTCTACCCAAAAGGGCTAACATCAAAAACCGGGTCAACTTTGGACATTACTGTGCTTGCCGAGGCCCTTCAAAGGAAAATGTGAGTAAGCAAAGCTTAATTGTGGTAATTTACGCACAAACACTTGTATTTGTATTTTCTGGTCATTTTTTGTACACAGTGCGTTCTTAAAGGAATCTTGCGCGGAAAAATCATGATTCTATTTCAGCCATAAATCACTGGCTTGAGACTCATTATCCACGATAATAGTGAAAAGAACTGAAGTATTGCTTTCGTTTTGATTAGAAATTCGAAAACTCGAAAAGGCTGCTACGCGTTCGAATTGCCCACGGACGTCTTTCACGAATGCTGGCGACGGGGATGCTCAAACTTGGTTCTTGGAGTGCATTCACTAGAAGCTCTTTCTGGCCTTCTGCTTCGTTGCATTCACATCTTACACTTCTACTCCATCCTATTCCATCGATCGATTTGTCTCCACTCTCCGAAATCGCGCGCTTTAACCCGATTCTCTCATTGCGTCGCCTGGTACGTAGCCGGCCAAACGCCGTCTTCTTTCCATGCCTCGCCTGGCTCTGCCTCCTGGTCCTTCGATGGTCCATAACGTGTAGTTTTTGTACGTTTGTTTCTCTTCAGAAACCGAATCTTCATGCGTGAAACTTTGTGTGCTATTTCCAGTGATCACAACTGACATATTCATGTTAGGAAAGAGTGCAAGAATTTTCCGCGCAAGATTCCTTTAATGGCATAACTTCAGACTTTATCACCATTAATAGAGCTTCTCCATAAAATTCTTCTGTCATTTCTATTTTTCTCTTTATGATCTTCGCATAGACTTCTTTTTTTTTCCCAAAAATCTAGTCATCACTGCCGATTAGAGCAAAACTTGTCTACACTCGATCTTCTTAATTATACTATGATTATTGAAATCATATTGATCTATTGATTTATGTCCCAACTTGCCTTCCTTCACGATTCCGATCAGAGGCGCCGCTATTGGCGAAGCACTTCAGCGTCCTCGGCTTCGATAGTGTAGACATCTAAAAAGTAGCGACAACCAGCCGTCAAAGCCAAGCTCCTGGAAGAAAAATACCGGCTCACTCATTAGAATACCGTATTTCATCCGCGTACCTCCTTCAATATCCGTCGTTAGGCTCACGACAAAGTTATTGTAACCTTTTTGAATTATTGGTAATTATGTTTACATAAACATTTCATACAACCTTATTTCAACACACTTTTTATCTTGAGCAATAAATGAAATGAGGATTCCACGATATGGTCAAAGGTCGAAAATGGGAACAGCTTACCTTAGTAGAAAACAGGCGGACCTGCTCAGGGTGCGGGCCGACACGCAATTCGTAGCAAAGGACATGCCCCCGCGATCTAGCATGGCCCTCCTCGCGGCGCGATCCGTGCCGTACACCCTTCGCCGTCTGGCTCTAGCCATCTAATAGAGAGAGCGTTAGCGTTGAAGAGCAGTCATCTATGAGAAGTCAACGTCATGACATAAATCGAAATAGTCAGGAATGGGTGTCGGCTTCTTGAGGTTTTGGGCCGAATTCCATGGTTCATCCGGGCACCCATGCCCTCCCTCCCTCTAATTCATTCATTAATGAGCTGCTTCTTTGCGATAATTCGCCGTTACAGGTTTCGATGGGCGGGTCGGCTCAGATGACCTCAATCCTTCAGCGCAAGTTCAGTACATCAACTCCATGTCAGCTTAGCCGTAATGTCTCCACGGACGAAAATGTATCTAATCAATATAACAACGCAGCCCCTCCCCGCTCCATTATTATCTGTACCACTGATAAATCAAATTTCACGACGCAATGTATCGAATAAGGAGCCTTCAACCCTTTCGAGTCGCTTGATCGATACCAACTCCTAACAGGACGATAAGATCCGCTGTAGTCGGCAGTACTACTGCAGACAAACAACAATTGAATTCATAGCACAAGTGGAATGTGTGGCTTATCCCCGAAAAATGGACAAATTAGCTCCGAACGCTTTTCTTGTCGCAGTCCCGCAGATGGTCAGAAATCAAACCATTTCTCGGGGACCACCACCTTTGCCTAAGCTTCGGCCGTCCACCTTTCAGCCTTGAATCATAACAATTCGTAAAGACAGAAAGCTCTGTATGCTTTGTTGGTCTTCTCAGATCATGCCAACCATATTGCTTCTGCACCATTTGAAATGACGTGTACAGCAAAATACGATGGAATCTATCAATCTCGGACTCTGTCCTCCTATACAGCCCCAAAGCAATTTCCCTCACATTGAACCAACATGCAATTTACATTCCGCGCAGTAATTAGGAAAATTGGGGGCTTAACTGGAAGATCTCGAAAATCCCAGTTCGCGCGGTTCAGTGATCAGCACTTATCCTACCCACGTATTAGATTCATATTGGGCTTCCTATTCGCAACGTATGAGTAATTCGCAGGAATGATGAATTTGGAAACATGAGCCAAAAAGAAAACCAATCCACACAGAGGAACAATTTTATAAAGCGCTGAAGTCGCATTTATTTTAATAATAAATTGACATTCTCGCTAATCAACTACGACTTGCACATAAAAACAAACACACACAATTGAGCATTCCCTATAAAAAACACTTCCACTACATCACACGCCTAGAACTCAATCAATTTCTTTCCATAAAAGCTCACTGTCGACTTTGTTTTTCGATGACAACATGATATAACAAACGTTTAAAATTCTAGATGTAACCACAATCTATCATCTATTAATCTCAAAACTATTAAATCAAGATGTCGAAATCGCGCAGTTCCTCATCAGCTGGGAGTGAAGCCATAACACGTGCTCTGAAAAAAAGTCATAGAGTCAGGAATAGATCGGCATATTCATATGTAAAGCCGTATTTTATCCTTCTCTACCTTGGGTAAAGGAAAGTACAACGTTTTTTTTATCATTTTCCTGAAAGGCTTCGCTCCGAAAAGGGCGAACTTGAGAGGCAATTTGTATAAGAACAAAAATATATCGAAAATAAAGAAACATTCCATTGAAAACAGCTCCAAAGGAATTCCTTTTTCTCTCTGACAAAAATGTAACTGGCCAATGGATTCCATAGACATACGGACCGTGAACTCTATGGGTATGTGACCCTTCAAGGTTAAAAGAAGCGGACCAAAGAGCACAGGGAAATATTCGGTTGAAAGTTCAGTCTTGTACAAAATAATGTCACAGCCGAAAAAAATCCACGGCAAAAGTGATTACTTAATCGCTTCCAGATAGCTGAAAGAGAACTGCATCAAAAATTTACTAACCTTGGTAGGAGGTCTGGACTGATGAGAGGTAAACCAGCTTTTTCTCGTCTTGCTATTTCTAAATGTGCTTCACGGAGAGCCCATTCGCGACCCATCGGCCTTGAACAGTTACAAGAATTTGAGCAAAGAAACTGCATCTGTGTACACCTATTATGGGGCGGCGGACTTTGGCTCGTCCAGGCTTGGCAAATCGCGCGGCGATCCGAACGAGACAGATCTTCGCGGGCTTTTGCAGCCACCACATCAAAGCGTGTGCAGATCGTGGATAAAATCTGCAAGGTTGGAAGATGATGATGAAGATGGCAAGGAACTAGCATAGTTATAGCGATCAGGACGCTCATGTCGTTGGAGGGGGGGGGGGTACATTCAGTGAGTGAGCCAATTACTCCACCTGAAAGAAGAGGAACTAAGCCTCATGAAGGGAAGGGATTCTGGGGAAGAATGTGAGCAATTTGTGTTCTTTCCGACGTTTCTCCCCTCTCCTGGGCTTAGTCCTTCACCTTCCCTCGGCCTTGTTTCCAATGTTCCCCCTAGACATACCACTAGACACACCACAAACAATCGGCAAGGCATAGTTGACAACAGATAATCCTAGCTCAGTATAGATTCCTAATTTTACTGTTTCTTATTCGCTTCGATGATAGTAGCAATATTTCAATGAATTTTAATGAATCTAGTGGTATTTAAATGAAGGTTCTCTCCAATCTCTTTCGCTGACATCACCGCCATTCAAATCTCCGCGCGCGGAAAGTTATTTCAAACCGAAGAATCATGCAGAGTTTATTCGCAATCTGCACACGCTTAGACGTGTTGAATTCTGCTGCGCAGAACCCGCGCAGCCTTGTCTCACGCGGATCGCCGCGCACTTCGCGCGTGCACGTCGGAGGGGCCAAACGTCCCGCACCCCCATTACAAACGCTGAGCCGAGAAACTAATTTCTCGACAATTTCAAAATCTAGAACAGAAAATATAAAAGACGAGCACGACAGTTATAAAATTCAGGACAAAAACTGAATTTGGAGTATACTTGAGGAAGGAACAAAGCACAGATTAAAAAGCATCAAATATTCTCAAAAGAGATAACGTACCAGTCAGGACGAGCAAACATAATCCAACATGTTACCCAAGTAGTTAAAACGGTGAAGACGAGAAATACCCCCTGAAAAAAAAGCATGCATGATGTTCATAGCATTTCA